AAAACAACTTCTTATCTTATGGAGTTGTAAATGTTTTTCAATTTATTTTTGAAAAATATTCATACGAGAAATCTGGGCATAGCCTCTCGAAATCATAGTAGGCAAACCATAAGAAGCAAAATATCTCCTTGTACACACTCCGCCTTTACAAAAGGATCCCTGACTCGGCCATTGACACTATACTTCAACAAAACCAAAGATTTCTGTACATAAGTGTAAGGTAAAAGTAGCCCTTCCGCGGCCTGCAATTTTTAAACATGCAGCAACTGCATTTCATGCCTCTAAACAGAGTAAACAAACATTTCACGATACGTGATTCCACCTAAAAACTCCTTCTCAGGTTTTACCTGCAGCAGCAGCAGGACTCCCGCATTCATAGCTATCAGTGGTGGATCAGCAGCCAGTAGTGTCCCCTGCACCAGAAGACAATTATTTGTATAGACATTCAGAAGCTCATGTTGTCTCTGCTCAGCCTCCTTTGCAAGCTTGTCGCTTCTTGTTTTGTTTCTCTCAATACATGCTTGATCTCCCATCTCCCCATTTGGACTTTCAATCTTTCAAGCTGTAAGACCCATCTTCTTAATCTCCATGGTACTAAATATGGATGATTTGCCCATTTAACAGCATCCCTTGAGATGCTTTCCACCGCCAAGAAATATGAAGTTGTAGACACCAATTTTGTTTCAGATTTATTTTTTGTAAAATTAAAATTAAGGTTATTTTTTTACAATTAAAAAAGTATAACAAAAAACCAAAAAAACAAAAAACAAAAGAAGATAGGATCAAATAAACAATGCCTTCTCCGATCCTATCTATTATTTCTCAAATTCATCTAAATCCTAAAATTGTTAGATTTTAGAATTTATACAATAATATATATCTCTTAATTTTAGATTTTAGATTTTGGAATGGACCCCTTGGCGTTCATGATCACCAGCAGACTCTTGCAACCCTCTTAACACAGACCTTTTATATATAGAAGGCATGGTTTATTTCCATTAAAAAAGGAAGGTTACTTAATTTCATAACCTTCCCAATGCTCCTCATAAACGAAGCAGTAATTCAAAATTTTTTTTTTTGAAAAGGAGAGAACAGATTCATTTCATTAAACTAGAAAGAGCAAGGAAGAACACCTTTCTATACAAATCAAAAGTCTTTAGCCTCTCTGTATGCTTTTTATATTTGAAGGAGCGGTGATGCAATCAATTAATTAATTTTTTGAATTCCTTGAAAGAACATTATTGTTGTGTATTTAATTGGATATTAATATTTAGAAACTATCATTGCCTATCAATCTTTTAGACTTGTATACTTTAATTTGATTAATATGAGTTTTATTTAAAAAAACCTAATTTTATTCATCAATAATTACCAGTATGTCATACTAGTTTTTAACTTGATTGGCAGAAAACTTTATCTGACATAAAAGATCTGGCATGGGAAATCATCAAAACACTCTCAACACTGCACAACAGAAGATTGACAGCAAGCATCTCCACAAAATCCTAATCCTGCATTTAAAAACACCTAAGAAATTAGCCGAAAAGTAGTGTCACATGTATCGACACTACAAGATTCAAAGTAGAAAATCCAATACTAAAGATTGGCCATTCAAAGCATTAGAAATCAAGCCAAAAACATGCTTAGAGCAAATCCAGAAAAGCAAAAAGCTTGGCCAGCAGCATTTGACCACAAAATTGTCCTAAAGACAGAACCAGGTCAAGACAGATCAACAAAGAAAACAAAAACCTCAAAAGAACCACAAGGATTGGACAACAAACATATTTGTCCCCCATCACTCGTTATTGTAATGAGCTCACAGAAGTCCCTTTCATCAGAATGCCTCCAAATGCAACAACAAGCACCAAAGAAAGAGATCTCCAAGCAGCAAAAGCAGCCTCAAGGAAAAACCAAGCCTGCAAATTTTTCTTGACGTAAAATTAACATAATTAAGTCTTGTATACTTTGGGGTGGAACTAATGGGAAAAGGAAAATGCACTTAGTTAATTGGGAGAATGTCTGTAAACTTAAGGAATGTGGTGGTCTTGTCACTAGCCCCTTTCCCCAAGTAGCTGTTTTTTTAACTCAGTTTATGTAGGTATGGGTTTTTTTTTTTATTGGAAACGGTCTTAATATCTGTTTCTGGCATGATGGCTGGCTGGAGGAGGTGCCACTCAAAATCCCCTTTCCACGAATTTATGCTCTTTCAATCAACAAGTCAGGTACTGCCTCTGAAGTCGGGAACTGGTTGAATAACAAATGGTTATGGGAAATCAAACTCAGGAGAAGGCTTTTCGACTGGGAAACAAAACAATGGGAAACTCTCTATACAAAAATCAACGATATATTGCTTGATAACAGTGGAAAAGAGAAACTAATTTGGAAAGGGTCCACAAATGGCGTCTACTCTGTTAAGAATTTTTTAT